GTTCCCCTTACTCTACATCTTCTCCAACATAAGCTGTATTCAGTGATTTTGATCTTAGCCATTCTGACAGGTGTAAGATGGTCTCACACCATTTTGATTTGCATTTCCCTGATGACTAAGGATGTTGAGCAATTCCTTAAATGTCTTTCAGCCATTTGAGATTCTTCTGATGAGAATTTTCTGTTAAGCTCTGTAGCCCATTTTGTAATTGGATTGTTTGCTATGTTGATATCTAGCTTTTTCAGTTCTTTGCATATTTTGGAGATCAGCCCTCTGTCAGATGTGGGGTTGGTGAAGTTATTTTCCCATTCTCTAGGCTGTCATTTTGTCTTATTGACTGTGTCCTTTGCTCTACAAAAGCCTCTCAGTTTCAAAAGGTCTCATTTATTAATTGTTGCTCTCAATGTCTGTGCTACTGGTGTTATATTTAGGAAGTGTTCTCCTGTGCCAATGTGTACAAGACTACTTCCTACTTTCTCTTCTATCAAGTAATAAAGCAACCTCTGGAGGCATCTGATTGCATTTTTAAACAGTGATTATTTTTTCTAGAAAATAAGAAACATCATTTGTATTCTTTTGTTCATTTTCATAATCACTTTATTGTTTTTATTGCAAATATCTACAAACTTAAATAGACAATGCAATACCCTCAGCCAGATTTTTCTCATTTAACAATTTAACATGTTAAGATGATCTGTAATTTGAAGTGATATCAAAGACAATTGCATTCATCTTGGCAATAAACAAACAGAAAAAATATTTATGTAAACAATTAAAAATGAAAGCCATGTTTCAGTATTTTCAGAAAGCAGATGTATCTGTCACATTACTTTTGTTATTGTCATAGAATGAGAAAATTTCAAGGCAAGATTGGAGTTTAAAATAAACCAAAAGGATTAAGTGTGACTAAGATGTATTCTAAATCATTCATGGTTCCTAGTGAGAAGTTGGTAATTTTTTTATTGCCTATAATAATTTACTCATAGGCCATATTAAGAAAATTTTGATTTTTTTAGGTTTTTTTAGATTAGATCTGCATTGAAAATGCTCTGTTATTTAATTTTACTCTACACTAGTACTTTATAAAATACTTCAATTTAAAAATCATCATATCAGATTCATTTAACCCAGTTTTCTCATTTTTTTTCTTTTTGCCAAGCAACTGCTGTGTCATTATTCCATGACTGAAAATTCTCTCTTTTGTTTCTTCTCTCATGCATTGCATCCGACCTGCAGTTAGCCCTGCACTCCTTCCAATCGCTCCCATACACACCCCTCCCTTCTCTCCCAGAGTCACTCCTCCTCCATTTCCCTTCAGAAAAGAACAGGCCTCCCAGTGATACTGACCAAGTATGCCATATCAAGTCATAACAAGACTAGGCACATACCCTCATATCAAGGCTGGATGAGGCAAGCTAGTATGAGGAAAATGGTCCCCAAAGCACTCAACAGTCAAAGACAGCCCCTGTTCCCATTGATAGGAGTCCCACAAGAAGACCAAGATACACAACTGTAACATATATGTAGAGGTCCTAGTGTAGAACCATACTGTCTCTGTGGTTGCCTCTTCAGTCTCTGTGAACCTCTATGAACACTGCTTAGTTAATTTTTAGGGGCCTTTTCCTCCTGGTGTCCTTGACTCCTACAATCCTTTTTCCTTTTCTTCCGGGGGCTCCTTGAGCTCCACCTAATGTTTGGCTGTAGGTCTCTTCATCCTTTTCCACCAGTTGCTAGGTAAAGCCTCTCTGATGACGATTGGGCTAGACTCTGATCTATGAGTATAGCAGAATGTAATTAGGAATCATTTCATTAACTTCTTTTTTTATTTTGGCCAGTTGTATTTGATTCTATCCTGGGTCTCTGGGCTATCTAAGACTCTGGATCCTGGCCATCTGTCATCCAAACAGCATAGAGCAGCATAGAGCATGGACTGTCTCACAGCAGGGGCCTCATGCTGGACAAGTCATTAGTTAGCCACTCTAAATTTTACTCTGAAGGATTTGTTTACTATGCTATATAATACTTTAGATTTTAATAGATAATAATTTTCATGTATCCTTTAAGAAGTTCTTAATGCATATAATGAATTTGATCATGTCTCCTGAATATTCCCCCTCCTTCAACTCCCTTCATAAGTTGCCAACATGTTCCTGTACTAGTTTTATGTCTTTAATTATTTACTTATGTTCAATTGATGCTGTTGAGCATGTGCATGGGTGTGGGGCCATCCACTGCATCATGCTTACCCTATTGGTGGAAACACTCAAGAAAGAATTATTCTCCCTTTCCCAGCAACTACTCAAAGCTAATTATTCCTCAGTAACTTATGGGGCTTTTAGAGTTTCTCCTCCATAATAGAAAATAATAGGACAGTGATTATATAAATGTTGTTTGCTTCTACATGAGTTGTTTATAATTTAAATGTTTGTTTCAAATAATACAAAAATTTGTGTGTGAAAATAAGTTACATTTCAATGTAGTATATTATATATACTTAGTAGCATATAATCATGTAATCAATATCAAAGAATAGTCATGACACATAAATTAGAGTCAATTTTATTACTAGTGCATGATATTTAAATACTTGGGCAGAAATAATTAAAAGGTAATTATTTAAAATTAAATTCCAAGATAGTGGAGACCAGATAAACTTCATATACTATTGGAAGCAATGTAAATTACAGCAACTGTGTGGAACAATCAGGAAATTCCTCAAACAATTAAACAGCATTATTATATGGCTAACATTTGTACTTCAAATTATACATATATTTGAAAACCTTACTGTATTAATTAAATTCTTGTTGCTGTAATAAAACACCATGACTAAGATAAATCACAGAAGAAAGAGTTTATTTTGGTTTATGAGTTCAGGGATGGAAGAGTCCATCATGGTAGGGTAGCATGATGATAAGTAACATGCATGCCAGCATGAACAGAAAGCTGTGAAATCACATCTTCAACTGCAAAAATGGAGATGAATGAGTAAAGTAGAAGTGGGTCAAGTCTATGAACTCTCAAAGCCTGTTCCCAGTGATATATTTCATCTAGCAAGACTATATCATCTTTACAAACTGTAATCCCACCAGAGAACTAAGTATTCAAATACCTGAGCACATGAGGGCATTTCTTATTCATACCATCACTCATATGCACACAGAGCACGTTTATCTCTATATGTTTAAACAATTATAATATTCCTAACAACCATATGTACAGATGAACTAAATCTGATTCCATGAATAAATGTTTTGATGAAACACAATGAATTTTTACAATAGAATATTAGACACAAAAAGTAAATACATTTATTAAAATGTATAATTATAACTGAAACTTTAAATCATTATACTAAATTAAAGAATTGAGTTAAACTATTAAATAGAAAATGATTGAATTAATATGCCATGCCCAACAATTTGAAATTTATTTTATTTACTTATTATTTTTTTTCAAGACAGGGTTTCTCTGTGTAGTTTTGGTGCTTGTCCTGGATCTTGCTTTGTATTCCAGACTGGCCTCAATCTCAGAGATCTGCCTGGCTCTGCCTCCCGAGTGCTGGGATTAAAGGTTTATACCACCACGCCTGGCCCAAACCTTGAAATTTATAAAGATAAAAAGTTGAATAGTGGATATTTAAAGCAGCGGAAGAAATTATAGTAAAAGAAAGTGGGGAAAATACCTTTATATCATCATTGACAATTTGATCCATCAAAGTAAAGTAGATTTTTAAAGTTCTAGTAGTGTTGCTTCATAGTAATAGAGGAGGAGATAAATTATATGAGGATTCATTCATGGTGATGAGAATAATCTAAAATTGACTTTTGCTTAAACTAATATGAGTGCATGTACTACAGACTTTTAAGTAACAGCTTGAGTAAAATATATAGTGTGTGACTTTTACATAAATCATTTCTCATAATACATGATTAGTAGGTAGAATGCATGTAATTCTTAAATACGGTGGTTACTTTTTGAGGAACTAAAGTTACCAATTTAGTTCATTTAATTATTTGTAGCATGGTTTAATGCATTCCTATTTTAGATTTCTCTGAGAAAGGTAATATGCTATTGTATGAAAAATGTAGACTATTTTTTCTCTCTCATAGTATTGAATGCACTCCTCTCTGTATTTACACTTCCTGTATCCATCTTTCTGTGATTGTTGGCTTTCTAACAGGTTATCTGAGGCACTTTTGCAGTATTGTACAATGTACAGGGAACCAAGACAAAAGTAGAGAAAAGGGGACTTTGGAGATTATAATTACTTAGAAATACAGATATTTAGTATATTTGTTATATAGTATCTATATCCTTTAAAATTTAGAATATACTTGTAAAAATGAATATTTTAAAATTTTCTTAAGTCTTAAAGTGTTAATTAACATGCCTTTTGAGGGACATTACAAAGAAAAATATCTTAAATAAATTGAACCCTGAGTCCATCGTGATATCTTTAAACAATTAGTTGAACTGAATTAAATTAACATGCCTCTTTTAAAAACCACCAAATTTATTGATTTAACATTTAGAAACAGTGTCATGATGACATATAAATATTCTGTATGTTGGTTTTTAATTAAAAAATTTCCAATGAACTTAGTTTATCCTGTTATAAATAAGAAATGGGTTCAAATATAATCTAAATACCTGGTTATCCAAAATTTGATGAGATGTGTGTGATGTCAAATGAGAATATCTAATGGAAAGAGTATTTTTTTTGGCTAATTTCTATGTAGGTTAACTGAAGTTTTTAACACCAATCAGTCTTTTATATGGTTGTTCATGTTGTTGCATGAAATTTATAGTGCCCTTATATTTGCTTGCTCATACTGTCACTGAGAGCAAAGGAAAACTGTATACTATTGCATTGGGAATATTGACATACTTTTGTAAAAAAAAATAAAATGTATATGCAGTAATCAAATTTAAGCTGACTTTTGTCTTTGTTTTTTGTTTTGTTTTCCTTCCCTTGCTTCCATTTTTTCGCAAATCAGCGGAGATCTGAAGGAAGAAAGCCAGGAAAGGTATGATTGCAGTTTTTAAAAATTATATTAAGATATGTTGAATTTTTATTTAAATTGCTTAACCTCAGCTTTTGCTCTGTAGAGTTAAAACTGTATTTAATATGACATATATTGTGATTCTGCCTTAGAAGAGCTCCATATTGAGCTGTCTCAATATTCTGCATTACTTATATAGTTCTAGATCAAATTTCCAGGTCTTATTTTTCAACAATACTTTATTTTCTCACTGTTCCAAATATAATGTACTGTTGATAACATTAGTTTGTGAATGTCTTGCTAATATAGGTTTTTTTTTTTTTTTTGGTTTTTCGAGACAGGGTTTCTCTGTGTAGCTTTGTGCCTTTCCTGGAGCTCACTTGGTAGCCCAGGCTGGCCTCGAACTCAAAGAGATCCGCCTGCCTCTGCCTCCCGAGTGCTGCTAATATAGGTTTTGTATGATAAATTTTAGCAATAAAAGGGAGTAATTCTGTGTCAATTATCATATTAGCAGATATCACAGTAAATTAGTGACTATGAATCAGGAACCTCTCTCTAGTAGCATCAAATAGAAGAAAATTAAAATTAACCTACTTATGGATAATCAACAAAATATTACTCTTTGAGAAACTAATCTGTAGAACATCATCTTTTAATGTGAAAAGTTTTAATTCTGAGATAGATATAAAAGTTAAATCTTCTAAGTAATGTTAGCTTTCCAGAATTCATAAAATAAAATAAAAAACTAATTTACACACCCTACTAAATTTTAAATCCCTCTCTAGTTAAATAGTATGACCACTAATATTAAATAAATTTTCTGTTAGATGACAAATTTCTTAGCATTATACCTTGGGTTTCCTATCATATTTTCTGATTGAATGAATAATATTAACATTAAACTGCTTATAAATGATATTTTGTTAAGCCATTAACAACTATTAATTCGAAGCACCAGCATATGGCTATTTCTACTAATAAATTGAATGTATTTAATCTTCAAAATGATCTGTTACATTGTAGTTTCATGGTTCTCAGAAGAACAAAGTCCATAAAACAAATAATAGAGTTGCCAATTTAAAACACAAAACCAAATACAGTATTTAGTGAAATGTCACTGGCTACAAAGGAGAGAAGAGTTACAGGACAGAGAAAGTGGAAGCTTTTAGAAGTTCACAGGTTTGGGGTATTCTAATGTTCTAAACAATTCCTGTGAATTTGAAAGTAAGCTCATTAATCACTAATTTTAAATTTATGGGTTTAAAGAGTAGTAAGTGTCTTTGTAAAGGATATTTTGTCATGTGAAAACAAATAGGAAGTTAAAAATGGAAAATATTATTCAGAAGAAAGGATGCTAGAAATCTGCATAGCCTTGGAAATTACAGTCTCTACAAACAACAGAATTGTTTGTTCTTTTATTGGGTTAGATGAGGCCAATAGAGATAAGCAGACTTAAGAGGAAGCTGGGCAAACAAGAAACATACTCAGTGCACTCCAAAAAAAGGAATGTTGTGTCAGTTGATTGGCAAGAATTGGTGATGGGGACACATTTCACTTTTTTAGTGATTTCTAAATATTGGGGTTAGGGGAAGGGCAGGGTGGGTTCAATAGGAATAAGAAAAGCTAAGTTTGGTTAAAAAATGCATAATCTTAAAAATGGATAATTATGAACATTTGGCCAATTTTTTCTATTAGCTTTCCCAACAAAATAAGAATTATAGAATAACCTGATAACATACTGATTTATTTCCAATCATTATATATATATATATGTGTGTGTGTGTGTGTGTGTGTGTGTGTGTGTGTGTGTGTATGTGTGTATAAGCAAGTATAGTGTATATATGAATCTGTACACATGTATATGTATAGAGATATTCTTATATAAAATAAAAATCAAACTTATAATCCCTTTTATGGGTGAGGAAGCAGTGTTACAAAGAGTTTTAGTGACTAGTATAAGCTATTGGCTCATAAGACAAGATCCAGGGTTTGAATCTGGGCAATCTTTTTCTAGAAACCTTTCAAATGACAAATGGCAAAAGCTTGGTATTGATGAAAAAAGCTATTCATATAGTAATCAAACAATGCTTTAATTGAATTTCAGTAATTGCATTTAATATATCCATATTATGACATTTTTAATGGTATTCATGGAATAATGATTTAAAAATATTTCTGAGGCTAGATTCAGCAATTAAGAGTTCATATGGCTCTTACAGAAGACCAGAGTTGAATTCACAGCTACCAAGTCAAGTGGCTGCCAACTGCCATTAACTACAGCCAGAGAACGTGAAGCCTCTAAGCTCTGTTGACAATGCAGCAATGTAATCATGTACACATACCCACAAACACACATACAGACACACCCACACACTCCACACAGAGAGAGAATTATATTTAAATTGGTTGGTAGTGGATATTTTTTGTTTGCAAGATATTTAAAATGAAATTTAAAAATTTTTTAATTAATAAAAAATTAGAAATATTTCTGTTCACTATTCATCCAGAAATGTATAATTCAATCTGTTTCACTTGTCTATATGGTTAACATACACCATAAAAGTGAGATATGTCCTCTGATGTCCTTTGTTTTAGGTCCATTGCATTTATGTGTGCATTTTGAAGGGTATTTTGGATGTTAAATTTGAGAAGCTATAAACCTTAAATATATTAAGTGTCAGAATATTCATTAACTTTGAATTTATTGCAAATGCTTCCATAAAAGATTAATTAATCCCTTGCACCCCTGAACTTCACCTATTTAGATTTTTAATGAATTCTGAACTATATCATTTATGTTCAATTTAATTCAGATACCGCATTCATAAAAATTAAGAACAATACATTATCTTAGCTAAGAATATAGTGCCTCCACGAATGCTTTATTGTCTTCTAGGTTCTAAAACATGAAAGGAAAAGAGAATTTTTCAATGACTTTCTTAGGTTTTAAATTTAAGTGGATTAAGAGACCTCACTAAATGGGACTTACTTTTATATGTCAAATAGAGGTTTAAGTTAAGATAGACAGTCTTTGTGTCAATTCCTAAATATGATATTTCACAGATAATCTAGTGACATTCAGTCAGCATAATAGAAGCAAATGCCACACTCCACAGTTCATTCATTCTTTAGCTAGTTGATATTTGAGCAGCTAATAACTAATTAATAGGAAAATGCATTTCAAATCACAGCCACTCTCATTGAATAAATAGGAGTACTACTTATTTTCAACTAAATGAAAGAAATATAATTTCTTGTAACCTGTTTGGTCAGAAATTTAAAACCTTTCTTTGCATAAGCACTCACTGGTTGTTAGATTTAAACTGCTGTTTTACTTCCTTAGTCATCATTAACATGGAATTTTTCAACATAGAGATTTTTAAGATCCCTCCCCTCTTTGGAAAAGCCTGTGTCTAAACTGCCCTGAGGCTTTGCACAAATGGCCTGACTTGTTAGAGTTTATGTTCACCAAAGTGCTAAACTGAAGATGGCAGAAACAGAACTGACTGAAATTCTCAAAGGGATATGTTTCTGATTTCTTTATATCTGCCTGAGGTGAATTTACAAAGTGGTGCCTTTCTGACTAACTTCCTGGATAACAGAGAGCACTTATAGTCAGAGTACAAGTGAAAGGCCTTCTTCTTCATCTGCCTATCTTCTTTCTCTTTCCTGTCATTTGTGTACTCATTTGCTCCCAGGTTGAGTGAAGACAAAGGGGCTGAGTGACAACAATGTTAGAGCGATTATGTATTTATCTATTCATTGTGCTGGTGTCTCCAAGGTACTTTCTTTTCAGCTCAGCAAGCTAGGCATATTTGGAAGATTTTTCTTCACTTCAGGTATTCACCTGAAAGTTTAATTTGGAGATTTGAATAAAGAATAGGACATTTATGTATTTTTACACATTTTCTCCCAAATGCAATCAATTCATATGCTATGCTTTTGGAAATATGTATCTATATACCTTGCTTTTACTGAAGGATTATTTTAATACATGACCATTTTATACTATTATTACCAAACAAATGCATGAGACTAAAGCTAAAGCAATTATGACTGCCTTTTTTAAAAATTTATTTTACTAGTTTTCATTATTAAAATTTTATTTTAGTTCTAGTGGTGTTGTGAGAAAATTAAATAACCCTAAAGGGTTCAATTTAGGATTTTTATTCAAGGAACCTGCTTATTCTCATGCTGCATACATTTCTTAGAAAGAAACTATTGCCAACACACTCTGAAGCATTTTACAGGATTATAATAACTTCTTTTTCTATGGACTATATTTGTTTTTATTAAATTTAACAGTAACTGAAAATTTGATCATGGGTCTAAAGAGCAGTCAGTTTGGAGAAAGCTTCAATCCTCTAGAATTAGCTTTTCATACCCTTCTTGTACTTCTTCAAAACATGCTTGAACATGATGTTGAGTGTCACAACTATCAATGTAGTCATCACTATAGGTAAATGTATTATGTCATATTGTTACTTGCTGACTTCTTGATAATTTATTCCATATATATCTCCATGTGTGCTTTCTGGGTTTGATTTTAACATAATTAAAGGGTACCATGGTTTTGGACAGAGTACTCACATTTTATTTTATTATCTTTGTTATTTTTATTGCACTATACCACATGGTTAACTTGAGCTTTCCTCTCATTTGATTCTCTAAAATCTCTGTTCTTCTCCATTTGGTCTATTTTACAAACATCCTTCTGTCTGATATTTTCATGTTATTTCATCGTTGTTTTTATTCACTATCAGTTTCCATGTGTAGAGTACCTTTCCTTCTGATACTCTTGACAGATTATACATGAAGGAACATAACTATGAAACTGTAGCAAAGATTTAACTCAATGCATTTTAATAGTATCAAGCTTGAGTTGGACTCTAGAAATTGTTCACAAACCATGATGCTCTATTTTTATTAACTTTCTAACAAACCTTAAATAGCTGTCCAAACATTTTCAACATTGTTATATTTATTTTACAATTACCTCCCACTAAACACCTTTGTAACCACAG